TTTTTAACCTTTGAAATTAATTCATGTGTGTTTTAAATATGGTGATGATATTCATTTTATTAGAGGTATATGAGGGTACTTCAAAAAGTTTATGGAAATATGAATATAATCTTATAATTCTATTTTTCCATGAACTTTTGATTTCCATGTATACTCATATCTAACTCCTTATGCATTTTTATTTGCTAACTGAGCTCATACTATACTATATAACAAAAGTATTTCACGGTTTCATTAAATATTTTGTAGCTATTTTAATAGCTGAATAATATACTTCATCATATGAATGTGCCATAATTTACCTCTTCTAGTAATTGAGTTAGTTAGAATGTTTACATTTTTATCCTATTATAAATATAAACATAATGAACATATCTTTTCCTAAGGCTATATTCCTGGAATGATTCTGCAAGTGCCAGAGAGATTAATTTAAAGAAAGGAAAATTTTAACTACTAATGCCAAAAAAAAAAAAAAGAAAATGGGGTGCATTATGAGAGGTAGTATGACTTTCATGTAAAAATTCCATTTCTCCTTGCAATTCTAACATTTAACATGTAACCAAATATAGAGAGTAGTGGTTAAACACAGGTGCTGAGACCTATCTAGGTTCTAACTGTACTTCTGCCACTCATTCATTGGGACAAATAATTCAAACTGTGCTTTTTAAAATTATTATCACTACCATTTCAAAGTTTCCTGCTCTTTGAAATAGTAGCAATAATAATTCTTGCCTCTTAGGTTTATTGTGAGAATTAATGGGTTAGTTAATATAAATCTCTTGGAACTTGCCTGGCAGAGCAAGTGCTCAATCAATGTTTATTTATAACAGTTGCAGCTCCAGCATATAAGAAAATATTTTCTAATTCAATTTTCTGAAAGGACGTTCTTTTGTTCCTATTCCTGTGGCATCATAAATACTAAAGTAGCTCGAACTGCTACAATTAGAACTGCTCCATACCTGCAAATACATGCATGGAATGTACTCTTTTTAAGATTCCTGGAATTGTTTGTATTTTAATTGTACACATAAATCACACAGCATATACCTAGATCCTTATCTCAAATAGCCAATGGCAGAAAACGGCAGAATTCTTATGAGCAAGTATTTTTCATAGATGGTTGGGGGTTTTATAGTTTTCACCTTCAAATACTGAAGTTACTAAATGACCAAATAAATGAAGAAATGACCAAAATAAAGAAGCAAAATGTGGTGTGAACTAGAGGATTTCAGTTTTATCTCCAGTGGAAAGAGAAAGCCGGCCTCCCCATCAATATCCCAAACCCTTAGCCATTTTCCTGCTGCAGCCACGTGTTAAGAGGGAGGCTGCAGGTGGGTCTTCCCAGTAAGGCTTTTGGCTCCATTTGGAATCTCTGCCCAGAAGTGCTTGACTAAGCCTCCTGGAGCCATTAGTGACTTTTACCTAGACAAGGCCTAAATGGCCTCCTTGGCCCACTTCTGTTAAATTCACAGATGGTCTTGGCCCATTATGTCTTAATGTGCCAATGGCAAAAAGTGAGGATGGAACCAGAAGAGATGTATGTAAAGAGAAATGTAACCTCAATACATTGTCCTTCCTTCTGTTCCCTCTGAAACGGGGCTTCTCAACTTTAGCACAACTGAGATTTTGGACCAGATAACACTTTCTCTTTTCTGTGGCAGGCTGTCCTGTGCATTGCAGAATGTTTAGTCATGTCCCTGGCCTCTGCTCACTAGATTCCAGTATTACACACCCTCATCCCCATGGTGACAACCAAAAATGTCTCCAGACGAAATGAGCTCCAATGAGAACCATTGCTCTAAAGGCCACAGTGTGGTAACATGACTGCTTGTGTCTTTGGCCTTGGCTGACTAGTATCATGCTCCTCCTCAGGGAGTTCAATGATGAAAAGGGACCTTGAACACCACCTCCTAGTTAGACTGTACCCAACACTAACTATATAGAATCTGAGAGGGACACCCAAAGCATAAAAATAAAACTATCCCCTCTACCTACATTATAATAGAAAAAGGGGTATAAATTTATTTTAGCTAAAATCATGTGTTCCTAAGAAGTTCAACTCCAGCTGAAGTGAAGAAAGTGGTATTTTCTTTTTCTTCAAAGTTAATACACATGAACTAAAATTAATAAAGTTTTATCACATTATTTTCATTTTTCCTATAGTCATCCTTTCTGTAGTAAAAACGTGTAGTCTTCAAGGTATATCTTCAAGAAGATGTCATTAGTTGTGATTAAAAACTTTCATTCCTTTTGAAATATGTGTATATATTTCATAGTTTTAGTAGTCTGAGAGTTACTGAGTTGCTATTTTCCCTAATAATTCTGTTCTCTCATAAACTACATATAGTATTTTCACATTCTATGCACAAGCTTAGTTCTTTGTACTACTTTGATATATAAATAATGAGTTTATATTTTAAAGTTTATGGTTAACAACAATCATGTCTGTTTATTTCTATTGAAATTAGATCATCATAAAAATACACTTAGACAAAATGTAGCTGATGTGGTTGCTGGTATCTGAGTTCTAAGTGATTTGCATTATAAAAGCTATTTTAATGTAAACTGACTGAATGGAATAAGCTGCCTACTGTATTACCTTTTTACCATAGAACGTTTTACCCTTATATAAATTGCTTAATGGAATTTAGAACCTCAAAATCACCTAGAATTCTGTCTCCTTATTTTAACACAAGAGTAGTGTGAAATGTTGCACACACTACTCTTGTGTTTGCTTTAATAACGAGAGAGAACTAAGTCTAAAAATGAGATTTTTAGATAGTTAGAAAACTTAATGCTTTTTCAGTGCTCTTATTGATTTTTCATGTCTACTCTTATGAAAAATAATCATATGCCAAAGGAACCCTTTTATGAAGTATACAATAGCATATTTCAGGTTCTCTTGTTGTTTATCTGAATATTAGTAATTTTGACAAATATTTCTATGGACTATAGAAATGTTTTTGTAAGTTCATAACTTTAATTTTTTTTCTGTCCTTGATTTTCATGAGCTTGTGAATACTCTACAGAGAAATGCGGTGAAAAATTAATTGGCAATCGCCAGATGCGTGCAAATTTTATGAGACAACCAAATAGTAAAAGCTAGCTTTCATTGAATGTTCACTTTGTTCTATGCTAAATGTAACTCTGCTAAATTATGTTCATACATTATTTTTATGTACTCCTCAAAGAGGCACGAATTTATTAAATATTTATGTTCATAACTGTCCCCATATTACCTTTTTAAATTGTCTATTATACCAGACTCTTGGAAGTTAGTGTCTTGGGAGTATCTTGTAGGTGAATGATGTGTTGTCTGACAATAAGTATTTATGAATGGATCCAAAACTTTGCTAGACTTTATGGTAAAAATGTTTAAAAATAATAATAAAACAGCAACAACAACAAGAAGGGTCAGAAGGAAGAAGGGAAAAAAATAGGAAGAGGGGAAGGTTCCAGTCTCTTATCTTCAACCATATGGTTGAGGCCATATGACCTAGAAACATGAGACAAGTAAAATGAAGGTATCCAGCAGCATGTAATTAACAGTAGGCTGTGTGATGGTGTGTGTATAGGGATTCAGGTTGAGAAAGATCATTAAAACCTGAGGTTAGTTGGAGAAATTCCATGGGCAATGGAAATATCCCAGCCTCAGAGGAAGTTAGGATTTGGTTTGGTCTGAGGTAGTTGGTAAGTGGCAATGAACAGATGACATTCCCGGTGTGAGGACAAGCCTGAGATGAAGATGAGAAAGAGAAAAGAAAAAGCTTCCAGTGTAACAAATACACTTGATCCAAAGGTTTGAATTTTTCCTGCAATTCTGATGTTATGTTTTTTACACTTTTTAGGAAAAGAATACTGGTTGTATTTACATTCTTTCTGATCTAAAATAAGAGAGTGTGAGGGTGTTTCTGGGACTGGAGGGTGCATAACCTCAGATGTGGTCTGAGAAGTCAATACACCCAGTATTCATTTGGGTCTTGTGTTGCCCGTGCTTCCAGAGATGTAAGAAAACTAAAAAGGTTGTGTTTTTCCAATTTATTATTTATCTTAACCAAATATAAATAATTTTTATTATTTATCTTAACCAAAGATTTATTAGACCATACTTTGTCCTACAAGAGAGGATTGCAATAGAAACTATCAGTAAAATCATGTGTATTTTGCTGGTTAATAGAAAATATTTCTGGACACCTTTCTGACATTGACATCCTTTATTTCAGTGGTTTCCAGCATTTTTTTTTTCCTGACTTTTTCCAACCATTTCTTCTTTCCTTCACTACAGGTTGCTAGTCTTATATGCTCCCATCATCTCTCATTACATAGAATGATTCCTCTAAGGAGAGGTGGGCCTGGGGAAGAGTTGTGTCAGAATCTCAGAAAGGGGTACGGGCCATATATGGTTTGAAATTCCCCTTGGAAATACTGGTGTCTCCTCTTCCCTGTGCCCTTTGCTATATAATAATTTTTACATGTATTTTAAATTTCATGCCTAGCTTGATATTTTTCTGGGGTGTTTTTTTTAATTTATTTTTTGAATTGAAACGATTATACATATTTGCAGGGTACAGAATGGACTCAGTATTTGTGTACAGTATGTTATGATCAAATCAATATTATTATTTACCATGTTCATCATTACAAATTGTAGTTATTCTTTGTGTCCTTTACCCAGTTACTCCCTAAACTCCTTCCCCTCCCCCTTTCCCACCTCTAGTCACTATAGGTTTGTTCTCTCCTTCTGAAAGTTCAACGTTTTATTATGGTCATTCTTTCTTTCTTTTGGGGTGTTATCAATACAAGGGTACTTGAAAAAGTTCATGGAAAAATAGAATTAAAAGATAATATGAATCTCTCTATAGACTTTTTGAAGTATCCTCATACATTAGATTATTAATAAATTGGAATAAATTATCTTTCTCTAATAACTCAATTTGAACAACTTTTTAAGTTTATTTTTTTCTCTCTCCTCCTTTTCTTTACTTTATTTTATTTTCTAGATACCAAAGTCCAGGAGTGAGGGATCCATTCAGGTCCACAGAGTGCCACAACCAGAGCTATCTGATGACATTCCTCAGGTCAGCCTGCGGCTAAGTCGTAGAAAGCCCTGCTTGGAAGACATGAATTCAGCAGAGGACACTCGTGGTGCCAAGTTGATATCTAGGTTGGCATGGTTTTTTTACATGATACATATTGCATTATTCGCTCTGATATATAGGCCCACATATGTAGGTGTGTCTGTATGTATCTACCACCGGGATCAGCAGGATCTAGATGAGTAAAAGTACTTAAAATTTGCTGTACATTTTGATAATTTTCTGATTAATAGTTCTTATCACAGAAGCATTCCTGATTATTTTGTTTTCTGGATTGAGACAAGTTATTTAATCAAGAGAACTATGCTGAGCTCACAGTTAAAGAGTTACTTTTCAGATGCCTTTTCATGGTAAGCATGTTCAGTGGAAAATGTTATCTGCAATTTAAAGTGACGATCAGAGTTGTCACCAGAACCAGCTCTCACAAACTATCTTTGAATGTTGCTTTCTAACCATTATGTTGCACATTATACCTGAAAGCGAACTTCTCTGGTATACTTGAAGAAAAAGACAAACAATTTTCTAAAAGTAGGTAAAGGAGGGCCTGAATCTTATTTACAACTAGCATATAGAATTTTTTCTTTTAATAATTTTTTGTCTTTTATTATAACATAATATATTCCTAAAATAAAAAGTATTCTATTACAAGTGTTAGAGAGATCTAGGGAATTGAAAGATGTTTAAAACATTAAATGGATAATATTGTTAAGGAGCTAGCCCCTTTGGATTGCCTTACAGAAAAGATGGAATTTGAGCCAGATCTTTAAAAAAAATGAGGATAATTTAAATAGGAAGAGAAAGAATACAGGGGTATTGTAGATAGCCCCAGTTAGGATGCATAATGGGTCTTTTGGAATATTTGGTATTTTATAAAATAATTGGTATTTTAGCAAACTGGAATTAGTTGGATATATATCTGCAAAGGTAGCATGAGGCCAGGTCATCTTGAATGCCAGGCTGAAGTATTTTTGCATTCAGCATTTCATTCATTGAACAAATGTTTGGGCAGTTAACTTCTGGCTCCAGGAACTACTTTAAGACAAGAGATGCAGCAGTGAACAACACCAGTCAGGCCCCTGTATTTGTGAATCTTTTATAAGGTTCGTAAATACATTGCAAGGCAATGGAGAGACACAATAGAAAAAAGCCTGTGAGGAAGAGGATTTCAGCTCTAATAAATGAGGGGTATTAAGAAGCTGCAACAGGTTAATGTAATAGATTCAAAAATCATTATCGTTTGAGCAGTCAGAGGAGGCCTGGATTGAGACATGAAGAAAAGGAAGAGGAGGAGAGAGTCTGTGAAGAATCAAGGAAAGCATTCCAGGCAGAGGTTATAGCAAATGCAGAAGAACTGAGGTAGGAGAAGCTCAGCTTCGTCTTAAAGATAATAGGAGGCCAGTGAAGGTTTGAGCTGAGCAGGGGCGGGTGGTAAGAACCGTAGAGGGTTAGTACCTTAGGAAAAATACTCATAGTCTTCCATCAGCATGCAGTATAGCCTGGAGGAGGGAGAGTTTGGAGGTAGTTATAGTGTTGGCTTCTTCAACAAATATTAATCTTGCTTGAGATCTATTTATGTGGCATTTACTGAAGAGACATAAGTCCTACACTTGGCAGGGGGACAAAAGAAAAGTGAATAAAAATTTAATAATTATCTTTAAAGATGCATATACTAAGTGCCAGTTATATACCAGGCATTGTGAAATGGTCTTGTAATAAAATCATAAATAACGTTCAGGTGCTCCTCTTGAGAAATGTGAACTACAACTCACAGGGTGCTCTGCAGGGGCAGAGGAAGGGCAGAACCATGTGGGGAGATGAGGATCACAGAAGGTTTCTGAAAGAGGGAGACTTTTGAACTAAGGCTAGTAGGATAAGGAGAAGTTTATTGAGCACAGAAATAGAGATAAGAGTGTTCCTGGAAAGAAAAAAAAAAAAAAACACATGCAAGGACATGCAGGGCAGCAAGGACAGTTCAGAGGAGAACCGCAATTGCAGTGATGAAACCAGGACATCAGGAGTTTAGCATGTAGGGCATACGGGAGTGTATTAGTTTGTTTCTGTTGCCTATAACAGAATTCCTGAAACTGGATAATTTAGGAAGAAATGAAGTCTTATTTCTTACAGTTTTGGAGGCTGGGAAGTCCACAGTCCACAGAACACATCTGGTGAGGGCCTTCTTCTACAGCAGTACAAGGTATCACATGGCAAGAATGGGCTGAGCTCTCCTTTTTAAGCCATCAGAACTACACCCATTACTCCATGAATGTATCGGTCCATTCACAAGGCCACAGTCCTCACAATCTAATCACCTCTTAAAGGCCCCAACTTTCAAATACCATAATTGGATTTCCCACTGTCTTACCACTGTTACAGTGGGGATTAAGTTTCCAATACATGAAGTTTTGGGGGACACATTTGACCCATAGCAGGAAGGGTAAAGATGGGTTTAAGAAACTAAGCTAAGTAGGTCTGATCATTAAAAACTATATTGCATATTAAGGAGTTTGGATTTTCTCTTGAAAATGATGGGGAGTGATTGCAGGAATATAAGCAGGACAGTGATATAAACAGACTTGTATTTTATAAAAGGTCCTGTGACAACAGCACAGAAGGAAAGATTAAAGAGAACAGTAAGAGATGCTGGGAGACTGGCAAGGAGGCTGCTGGGCAAACAGTGCAGAGCAAAAGCCTTCAGTGAGTCACTGTCAGTTCTTAAGAATGAGGAGGGGGAGACAAGTCTTTGTCCCTTGGAGGGATGGGAGAGAATAGGCTATTGCTTAGAGGAAGATGTGATCAAGAAAAGGCTGGGGGATTTTTTTGTTTGATTTGTTTCATTCGGGGCATTAAAATATGTTAATGAATGGAGTACAGGCAGGTCTGTATGCTTAATGGGCAGAGACGGTGGAGAGGAAGAAGCTGATATTGCAGGCCAGGAATAACAGAACAAGACCTTCCAGGAGGGAACCCAGAGACCAGGCGCCAACAGCCCCTGTGAGGCAGACTGGGCCATGCACTCTTCACATCACAGCCTCCGTGAGCAGCTGTGCTCCCTGGTGCTGAGCATGCACGGTGTGCACAGCAGACGGGGCAGGTGGTGAGCGGGAGAGGAGTCAGCCTTGGCCAGTGAGGAAAAGCTAAGGAAAGAATCAGGGGCACAGGTACAAAACACTCGGCCTTTTAAAAGTTTACTTCTCTAGTAATGAAAAGAAAAATTCAGATGTTTACTGTGTATATCATCTTATTCATCCAATCAGAAAAGGAAAAAAAAAGTTTCCTGCTTCTAAAGGTAACAATTCTTCCTGTTTGGAGAATGAGTTTGTATTTCTGAGATACAAATCAAGAAGTCAGATTAAGGAAGGAAGGCACAGCTAACCAGTGCTCTAGACACTATTTGTTCCTGTGATCAAGAGGAGTAGCCTCAGTTAAAAGAAATGTGTATTTGTATTGATGAATTTCTACTATTCTTTCCAGTTTTTTGAAGTACAGCAAGTCAGCCTTAAAGGTGTAGATAGAACAACATTGTCCATGTTAAACATGCTATCTGCTGTCACACAGGAACTTGTTCGACTTCACATCTTTATCCACAGATCTGTTGTAATCGCAAAGAGATTTTTACTTTTTACTTTTGATTTACCTCATTGTGTGGTAAATTATGTATGAGAGGAATTATCGAAAGACAATTGGGGATAATTAAAATAAATTTAACTAAAAATAAATTTTAAATCCATCATGTATCTTTGAAGTAACAGAATAGGTGTTATGTCAATTTTCATTTCAAAACTGAACTTATGGAGCTCTTTTCATTTGCAGTTACTTGCCAGAACATATTGGCTAGTTCATACATTTTAAGTTAAAAAATAAATAAATGTGTTTATGTACACACATACCACTACTTTCTCTAAATCTTTTTCACTTTTTTCTTTTATGGTTTATTAGTTGCCCCAGTCTTAAATACAAAGGTTGGCAAGGTATATTGAGTACATTGTTATAACCCTGTTCTTGGATATATTTGCCTTGACATACCAACTTTTTCAAATAATTGTCAAGAAGCATTCAAACTGGGCTTTTGCTAGTATTGAGCTTTTTTAGTTGCTCTTTCAAAAAGAAAAAAAAAAGCAATTCTGAAAAATCTATTCTTTATGATTTTAAAAAATTTGGGGTGCTAATTTTATTTTATTTTATTTTATTTTATTTTATTTTATTTTATTTTATTTTATTTTATTTTATTTTATTTTATTTTATTTTATTTTATTTTATTTTATTTTATTTTATTTTATTTTATTTTATTTTATTTTATTTTATTTTATTTTATTTTATTTTATTTTATTTTATTTTATTTTATTTTATTTTATTTTATTTTATTTTATTTTATTTTATTTTATTTTATTTTATTTTATTTTATTTTATTTTATTTTATTTTATTTTATTTTATTTTATTTTATTGTAACATACTTGATTGTACCTGTCTCTGGGGTACAGAGTTGAATATCATTTCATGTGAGCAACATTAGGATATTCAACATTATATAATGTAATCATTTTTCGTGGTCCCTTACCAATTCCTCCTTTATACCCCTCCCCCCCATTTCCCACCTCTGGTAACCTCTATCCTTTTGAAAGTTCAGTGTATTATTGTGATTGCTATATTTTTCTTTCTTTCTTTTTTTTAAATTTATTTATTTGTTTATTTTTTTAGCTCCTGCTTATGAGTGAGGACACGTGGTATTTGTCTTTCTGTACCTGGCTTATTTCACTTAACATGATTTTCTCTAATTTCATCCATATTGCTACAAATGACAGTATTACATTCTTTTTTATGGCAGAATAATATTCCATTGGGTACATATACCACATTTTCCTTATCCAGTCATCTGATGATGGACATTTAGGTTGGTTCCAACTCTTGGCTATTGGAAATAGAGCTGTAATAAATATGGGGGTATAGGTATCCCTTTGATATGATGATTTCCATTCCGCTGGGTATATACCCAGCTGGATCAGATGGCATTTCTATCTGTAGTTGTTTAAGGAAACTCCATGCTGTTTTCCATAATGGCTGCACCAATTA